TATATATATATATATATATACATACATGCATACCATATAATGTTTAGTTGACATATACATTTTAAATTTATTTTATAACATTTTATTATCTAAACCACAAGAAATCTATAACAACTTTAACTTATCGAAATAAATATTTTTACAGATATATTTAACGAAATTTAAAAATTATGCTCAGATCATTTTCTTACATACCACCAAACTCTTGTGTAATTTCATATCTAACATCCTAAGAAGTAAAGTACACTTTTTCAATGAAAAATATGAAAATTAAAGTTAGGTAAATATATAAATACATAAGAATTGAGTGGTCTATATGTAAATACTCCTATAAATAAATATAAATGAATACATATTAATATTTTTGATATAAATGTAAATCCCTATATATATTAAAAAGAAAGAGTGGTCCAATGAAGGAGGAGCGAGCATCAAGAGCCGTTGGTGACACGTGGGGCCGACAGAAACACCGCCCGCAGGTGTTCCCAGTTATGGCATCACGACACCGGCAGCGGAGTTGCCTTCCCTTCCCGCTTCCCCTCCCATGAATGCCATCAACAGCCTGCCGAGAGTCACAGTTTGACAATTACAATTAATAGAACGGTGGGCCCCAAAACTAGCCTCCCACTATTTGGGCGTTTATGCTAAAATAAGCACCCTTAATAAAAATAAATAAATTCTTATATTTTAGTTATCTATAAAAAATCCTGTAATTTAAATTTATTTCATTTTCTCACCTAATTTATTTTTTCTATGTAATGTTATAAACTTAGACATGGAAATCTAGATTTTATTTTTAAAAAATAATGATAACAATATTTTTGATGTGAAAATTATTTAAATTTTAGATATTTAAATATCTAATAATTATATAGTATATATATGTAAATGCCCTTTAAAAAATACAGACACTTACATAAATGCCCGTAACTCATATATATTTACCTGTAAAATATTTAGATTTTATTTTTTTTATTATAAAAATATAATTATCATAATTTTAACATATAAAAATAAATAAAACGAACTTATATATATTACATATATTTTAAAGACATAAAAATTGAGTGGTATGTATGTAAATTATCCATAATTAGTTGGCAAACTTTTTGGGGGCAGGGGCAGGAATATAATTGTTCACAATTGATTGAGCACCGTGTCTGCCTCGTCAAATCTCATAGGTCCCCCTCTCTCTTATTATAGGCTGCCTGGAAAGAGATCACGTATGGGACCAGCTCCCCCGGACCGTATTCCCTTTACCAATACTTTTTTAATTGGCTATTCGTATTGCATAATAGCTATATATATATATATAATATATATATATAGATAGAAATGGGATGGAGTAAAGGGGAGAGTTACGGGAAGGCGGTTTCTCGTGCACGAGCGTCGGTGAGTCTTCTCCGTTGACCGTACGTTGCCGCAAGCGGCCCGACTATTCATTTGCGCTGCGTGGGAGGTCTAAATGCCACCTTCCTGCCTCTAATAAATACTGTCGTATTTGAGGAGGTCGTTTTTCCATTTTTTTAATATATTAAAAACATGCCTATTTAGTTTGCTCGGTTAATCAGAAAAATCTTTTTAATTTTCAAAAATAATATTTAATTTATTGCGAACTAAAATATTAATGATGTCGAATAATGCTGTATTGTCTTTGAGCATTTTTCCTCTTTCGCCGTTTTTGCAAAATATGTAAATTGATTTTATATAAAATAAATTTATATTAATATAAACGCTAGGATTTTAATATTTTTATAATTAATATTAGTTATATGCACACATTATACGATATTTAATTTATTTTTCATTTTTTATAAATAGGGGTGTATATTAATTGGTTAAAATTGAAGAGCCTAACCAATCCAGACCGAATAAATTAGGTCGATTCCGCTTTGTTCTAAAAATACGTTTCATTTTTTATTATTAAAAGATAAAATAAATTTTTGTTTAAAGGAACATATTGAAAAACTTAAAAAATAGAATAAATTTTGAATTAAATAAAAGATTATGACATTAAATCAAGATTAAATATGTAAAATATGCAATGTTTTATAATTGTTCTTGATCGAATAGTTAAAAGTTATTTTATTCATAATTGAACTGTTCAAACCGAAGTAAATGTCGGTTCAGTCTTATTGAAGATTTGATTTGTTCGATTTTATGTTTTGTTTGAACCGAAGGCTGGCTTGTAGGTATGAAAGATTTCATTGCTAGGACACCATCCCATATCTTTTTAAAATGATAATGAAATAAAATAAAATATAATACTAAAAGTTATAATTTTAAAATAGAGTTTTCTTCAAATACTAAGGGTCCGTTTGGGGAAGCTTGTGCGTTTCAGAATAAGCCGCTTATCCTTAAACGCGGCTGGTTGGCAGGCCGGCCGCAGGGGTCGACCCGCGTCCTGCATTTAGTGTAAAAACCCAAACACAGTTTTGGATAAGCTAATGAAACGCGCGAACAAAATAGTACGGCGGCGTTTTTAGCGTTTTGAAAACGCTGTCGGCACTTATAAGCTGCACCAAACGGAGCCTAAATGTTAAATTTTTTCACCATAGTAAGTTAGCCTTGCCAATTGCACGAAACTATGATGAACCAATCAGAAACTATTTTAACCGAATTTGGCCAGGATTTAATCCCCTTGGCTTCATTCAACCTGCCCTACCCCATTTAACATATCCAATAACTATTTGGGTAAATTTTACGTTGACAAATTAACTGAATCGGACCCAACCCAAAAAAAATTAAACGAATTAACGATGGAGAAAAAACAATGCAAAAAAATAAATAAATAATTAAAATAATTTCTATTTTGATATTAACCAATTATAAAATGGCAAATAATGTAAAGTTAAATTTAATCAGTGCTATTTTTAAAAAGAAATCCACGTCAGACAGACTGTTCCACGGTTTCAAAGAGTCCACATTCAATTGTCCAAATCGCTTTCCCTTTGTATGCAACCAGTCCTTACAGACTGATTCCATCTCGTCCCCCCCTCTTCTATAAATAAAATCCCCTTCTTTCCCTCTCACGTCCTTTCGTCCATATCTCCTCCTCGAATCCCTCCCCTCGGGAACAACCGCGTCAACCGATTTCCTCAGCGGAACCACCATCGCCACCACGAAACACCAATATTTCAGCAGGCGGAGCGCGGCCCTTTAAAAATGGCGGTGCAAGCTCAACACCCCTCCAATGCCTTCTTACCGGACCAACCATCCAGGTGAGCCTTAACCGCTCCAAGATTCACCACTAGTTTCCCTATTCTTTTGAGCGCTTCTTTTGGGCTCTTTCTTTCCGTTTCTTTAACCTTTTTAAATCCTTCGCGCCATACTGCTCCGCGCTCAATTTGTTTTGTGCCTTGCGTTCCTGCTGATCTCTGCTTCAGGGTGCCGATTGACGGCGTTCTGGAAGTCGTGCAAACGATGCAGAGTCATCAGCTTCAGATCGATCGTCTTCCTCTTGTTGGTAAAGCGGCTGGGGGTTTGATGAACGCCAGTTTGTTCAGCGATCATCCCCAAAGCGAGCTCACATGCAATGTCTCCGGATATCGGAAGCCGGCGGCTGCACGTCCTCCTTTTCTTCGTGTTTCCAAATCTTCAATACTCTCTGCATCCCTCGCTTTGATGAATGGTTCCTGTGGCGCTGTTAATACTGCTTTAATGGCTCCTAGCGATAAGAGCACGCGAGTATTTGATTCTGCTTCCGCGTGCACCAGCGGTCGGCCGACCAACGTTCCTATCCAGTCGGCTCCCGCTCCCTTATCATTCGGTCAGGAGATTCTTGCGCAGATCTATCATCAAAACTCTGAGATGGATGCGCTCATTCGTTTGCAGGTATTGCTGCTTCCTCGTTAATCTCCACCGTTTTTAATTTTCATCATTGCTTAATTCTTCTGCTCTGATTCAAAACAGAACGAGAGAATTCGTCTTGGTGCGGAGGAAGTGCGAAAAAGGCACTGCAGATCACTGTTCTCCAACTTAAAGCAAATCGTGGTGAAACGATTCCAAGAGAAGGAGATTGAGCTGGAGGAAGCTAACCGAAAGAATGCCGAACTTGAGGAGAAGATCCAGCAGGTGAATGCTGAGAGCCAGTTGTGGTTCAATGTAGCCAAGAACAACGAAGTATTAGTTTCCAATCTCAGGACAAATCTCGAGCAAGTTCTATTACAGAACGCTGCTACCGCCGCTGCTGTTACCCCCTTGACGGAAGGTTATGGTGACAGCGATGGGATAGCCGGCGATGCGGAGTCTTTCTGCTTTGACGACGATACTCGTATGGCTGCAGCGGCGCTGCCAACATGCATGCCTTCTACGGCGAAGAAAACTACTCTGCAACAAATGAATTGCAAGGTTTGTGGCGTAGTTGAAGTTTCTGTGCTTGTTCTTCCATGTCGGCATCTTTGCTTGTGCCAGAATTGCGAGTCTAGCGTCGCCATCTGTCCTCTCTGCAACTACCCCAAGAACGCAAGCTTACAAGTTTTCATGTGAGGACGATGCAAGCTGAGAATATTAAATTTCATTTTTTGGTTTCCTTTTTTTCACGGTCGAACGATATCTGTAATTTTGTTCTTTTAAATGGCTCCCAAATGAAATTTGTATTTCTGTAAAGTTTCTTTAAGGATTTTTTGTTTTCTTAAATTCGCAATTTTTATTTAAACCTTTGCACTGGTACGTTTTTTTGGTTTAATGATTTTCGTTTTTCATTTTTTGGGTGTAGTAATGGGTTTCTTGGGCTAGGGTTTTAAACGGCCGAAATTTTGCGACTGCTGCACAAAAATTTTGTTTGTGCGGATTCCTGACATAGCTCTACGTGCGGATCAAATTATTTTCAAATTATTTTTAGGTTATTTCTATATTATTTTTAATAATACCGAAATAACTTAGAATTGCCCGAAAATAAAGATCTTGGATTATTTCTGAGTTATTTCAGTATTATTAAAAATAATTTAAAAGTAATATGATCCGCACGTATAGCTACGTCAGTAGTCCGGACAGAAAAAAATGTGCTTCTGCTGCACACTTTTCTACACGGCAGAGGACATGTCCATATCGTTTCCATGGGTTTCACGTGTTATTTTTCTCGTTTTGTGACCATAAAAATGAGGAATTATTGCGTGTGGACACGACATGCATCTCTGCACGCCGTTTCCGATCCTGACCGTAGGATTTTTTTTATTTTTATTTTTTTAAATTTAGATAGGATCCACCGAAATTCATCCCGAATACTCTTTCCATAAAAACCTTTAGATTGGTTTAGCCGAGTCATATATATATATATAAGGAGCCGTTACATCAGATTAGCTTAAAATATTAGTATATCGAAGTATTTTCTAAATTTTATCTGTTTGTTTAACTTTTTATCCAGTAATATTCTCTTAATGTTTGCGCCTGAACGAGGTCGTCACCTGCCGTAGTTTATTTTTTATATCTTATTTCTGTCCCAGAAGTCGTCAAAATTGGAATTTCTTATGGTCTGGTTGGGTTGAACTTATATTTTTATAACAGTTTGTCTGAGCGTTATCTTTTAGCGTTGGGAAGCAATAGGCCAAGCCCACGATGAGGTTTAATAAGACTGCTTTTTTTTTTTATTTTTTTTTTAATTATTTTTATCATGTTAGTTATATTTATTCAGAATAAAGAAGTTTTGAGGCCTTCATATGATCAAAAGGCTCTGATCAATTGGGTGCCAGCAATTTGTAGGAATTCTAAGGAGATTGGGAGCTCTTTAACAAGTTTGTGGTTGATTGAAGTCTGGATGAAATGTTTTTTAACATAAAGAAGAGAGATTGTATGAAAAATGGGGTTAGATTTTTGGTTTTTTATTTAATTTCTATCAAGGAATCTATATATCAAGTTTTCAAAAATTTTTGGCCATTTTTTCTAACAAAATCTTTTTCTCCTTTTTTGCGCGTGTTACATTCTCTGATCATCGATAAGTTAGACTCTTTCATACTTGTAAAGAATTGTCGACACTTTAGTTTGTTGTTCACTCTTTAGAGGGCACATCTCGACTCAAAAGAGTAGACATGATCGATCGAATCGGGCCACATCCGGTATGAGTCCAGAGTTGGAAATTCATAACTTCAGGTGCTCAAACGTCAGAGAATTGGTGAGAGAGTATTATCAGGAGCCGATAGTCGGAGGTTTGTACACTATTTGTTTCGATCCTTGGTAGCGCTGTTATGGTGATGCGTCTTATCGCTCACCCTCGGTGTCAGGGAAGGGGATCTTTTGACATTTGGGGTAGCTCTTTAACACATGTGGACTGCCGACAAGGGCAACATATATGCTCTTTGTAGAAGTGTTTCTTTGATCATCGTTATAGTTGATCCTTAAGCTCGTGGATTTGTTGAGTTGCAAGAACTCTTGTGCACTCCTTGTTTCCTATATTATCACGGTTACTTTCTTTCTCCAGTGCTATGTTTTTTTCCTTATTTGTGGCATAATCCAAACTCACCGCACATTTAGGGTGTTAAACCCAAATTTATCCTCAAATCATGCCCGAGTAATATAACACATACAATGGAAGAGAAAAAATATTTTCTTAGAGAAAAAAATCAAGAATCTTGGATATTTGATTGATATTCTTTTATAAAAAAGAAGTAAAAAAGCCTCTCATTTTCAAATAATAACCACTATTTATAGAAGGTGACATTTCTTGAAAAGATTAGTCATGTCATTCCGACACGAATCCCACCAAAATATTGGGTTGGTTCAACTAGGTTTATGCCAAGTCATTTATCAGTAATGGAGATTTGAAGGATGTGATCTTGTTGATTGCTCTATTGCTTAAGCCCAGAACTCACCTTCAGGTGTTTGAGCCATTGTGTCGCCCCTTTCTAGTTTTTTGATTCGGTGACTCCTTATCACTCGACATTAAACACCCACCCTCAGATGGATGCTTGTTTCAGTTTTTTTGATATGCCGACTTGGCCTATTGTGTGTAGCTCAACTTACTCTTCACAGGATAATCGCGATCGCTCAAACTTGGATATACTCAGCTTCACATTGGTCACCATAAGATGTTGGGTAAGCTTCGCCTTAGCACCACAAACCTCCTCCAAGCTTTATTTTGCTCTATGGATGGGACTAAGTATGACTATGCTAAATGGTGGATCGGGTGTGGTTTAGGGCTATGTTAGAGGGCCTTGGGAGAGAGGGCTTTTGATTTGGGAAGTGGTTTTGAAGTATGGGGAAGCTTTTAGAACAATCAATTTGAAGTTTTGTCAAGTTTGGTGAAATGACTAAAATTCTCCTGGATTTTAGTGGAGAAATTAGAGTTTTGTAGTCGGTTTAAAGGCTTACGAATGATGGAGTTGAGCTTCATGTGAGTGTAAGAAGCGTGTGGAGTGATTTTAACAGAGTTTCCTCAAGGTTTGCACACTTCTTCACTCTTGGCCGTGAGGGGTGGTGTATTTATAGGCCTAGAAATGGAGCTCAATTGGTCAATGCAGTGGGTGGAAAATGATGCTGAGGCAGTGCTAAGGTGGAGGCAAAAGTACAATGGCAGTGAGCAACATTGGTTGGTCTAAATTTTGGATTTTCCCCCATGGGTGGCTCTCGGACTTGGGCTTGCTACCGAACATGGTGGCTGGCCAGGGCATGGGAGGTCACCATCTCATTGTGAGACGTCATTGGTAGGGAATGGTGGAGTCAGTTGGCTTGTGACATGTGTACATGGGTGGGATTTGAATGGAACGGGGTTGTGCTAATTTTGGTTTGACTTAGGTTTGACTCATGGAAATGGGCTTGGGTCACTCTCAAAGTGGTTTAACCTGGTGGCCATCATCGGGGATTGGGTGGTGAGATCCCAATCATGGAGATTAGTGCTTAAAAATGGGTTTAGGTGAAGCATGAGTAGGGTTAAATAATTAAAGTGGAATCATTGAAGAGAGCCCTCATTTTTTCTACCTATGGGAGGGTGACATGACAATGCTCACATGGCTCCCATGTGGCTTGAAACATGCTTCATGGCTTGCATGTGACTTGGCTTAATTTCATGAGGAGGGATTTTAAGTTTTTAACATTTTCGTGAGGTGCCATCAGGAAGCTAAATGGGGGAAGAAATTTGATCATGCATGCCATTATGTATAGTTTGGTTTAATTAAATGGAAGATGAGAATTTTTTTTTCCATGCTGGAGTGGGCTTTTGGAATTGATGGTCCTTGTATTTTAAATAAATTGAAAGTTGGGATTTTAGGATGGGATTTGAAGAATTGATTTTGATTTTTGGCTTCGGGCTTTGAATATAAATTTGACGGTGATTAAATTGTTCATGATGAGCTTGATGAAGTTTAGAATGAATTTTGAGGCATGAACTTGACAAAATTGGATTTGGCATGTGATCCAATTTTGGTGGATTTTAGACTTGGGTTAAGTTTGGATTTGGGGTTTACATGAAATTTGGATTTGAATTTGAATGGAATTGGGCTAGCACTTAGATGGGATTGGTGGAAATTTGGGGCACTTTGGAGATTTTGGTGAAAATTAGGTAACTTAGGTATTTTGGGTAATTTGGAAATTTTGAGAGGTTTGGCTAATTTTGGTGGATTTTAGGCTTAGAATGGTCTTGGAATGAATTTGGATTTGAGTTTGGTCGATTTTGAGTGAATTTGGAAAAATTTGGGTCAATTGGACTTGATCTTAGATTTTGACCGATTTGAGGTGGATTTTGGATTAAGATGTGGTGATGAGGTGTTGATATGTCCTTTAAGATGTTAATTTTTCTCCTATATTTTATACTTATTTTTGAAGATATTGCACTTTAATGGAATATATTTTCATATATTTTTTGCAGGTACTATAGGTAAAGCAATTGGAGCGAACTGGAGCGAGAACTGAGCAAAATGAAGGCAATTGGAGCAGTGGAGCTTAAACGTGAATGGGTGCCTAAGCGCTAGCTTGTACTGTCTAGGCACTGCTCCATAGCACCATGACATCGAAAGTAGGCACTTAGGTGCTGAACTCTCTCATAATTCCAGAGAAGGTGGCGCCTAAGCGCCAGCCAGTTCATTTTCCCCAACCGACAGAGCACATGACGCCTAGGCGCCACAGTTGTGCGCCTCAGTGCCAAAACTATTTGGGACCATTTCTCAGTGGTTTTATGCACAAAATGAAAGGATTTTTGGGGGGAGAGGGGATCATTAGGGAGAGAAGAGACATTAGGGAATTCAGAGAAGAAGTCAACAGTACAGAGAAGTGAAGAAAAAGTGAGAGATTTCCTTTTCTTTTCTGTATTTACTTTAAAATTTTTGAATGTTGAGAGGATTTGTTTTAAGATTGTAAGGAGAACATTTGGGGTGGAGTATTTTTTTATTTCTCAGGGGAAAATATAAGTATATTATATTTTCATTGTCTTGTAGTGTATTAATTCTTAGTATTTGACATTGATTTGATATAAGATGATGTACTTTTTTTTCTTGTTGCAATTTGAGTAATTTCCTTGTGTCATTCTCTTGTGATGAAATACTAGTTTGTGTAGTGAGCAGATTCAAGTAGAATCATTTTAATTTAATAATTGTGATGGTTTTTCCTTTGAACTTCATTTACATTACAATTTGGCCAATTGTAGTGTTAAATTTTGTTGTGAAGCCACATGATCCGGGAGGGCTATGACTTC